GCTCCTTGATTGCTTGTTGACTTTTTAGCATCTGACCCTGGGGACCCATGGCAGTCTGTTCATTGCTTTCACAAATACCACGTTTCTACTATTGATCTGCGACATCAGAGCTGGCAAGTGACAGCACTGTAATGACGCCTCATTTATCTGGTGGCCTGGGATCAAGACACACCAATCTAGGCAAAACTTTCTAAGTAACTGAAGCACCATAGTTTTTAAAAAGTACTTTTTTTTTTAATAAAACCTTTCTCACATACTTACTTCTTTCTCTTCCTGAAAAAAAGGTCAGCAGAATATGCTCTTCCAGAATCACAGAGCAAGCAGGTGTGTGCTCCTTCAAGGATGTCTTCAAGGACCACTTACATGAGTGGGGTGTTTTTAATATTAAATGATCCCAGATAATTTTTTAAAATAATGTTCTGCCTCCTGTCCTGCTATCAGGAGTTTGCCTGTCACGGTTTATTTCTATCAGCATTTCTACCTGTTACAGATATTCTTTTCCCAGAGACAGTCAGCCCTCCGTATCCATGGGTTCTGCATCCAGGATTCAACCAACCTTGCATTGAACATGTTCAAAAACATTACATCTGTACTGAAAGCATATAGACTTTTCTCTCATCATTATTCCCTGAACAATAGAGTATAACGACTATTGATATAGAATTTACCTTGTAATAGCTACTGCAAGCAACCTAGAGAGGATTGAAAGTGTATGGAAGGATGTATGTAGGTTATATGCAAATCCTATGCCATTTATGGAAGAGATGTGAGCATCCTCCTTGGATTTAGAGATGCTTGGGGAATCCTGGAACCAATTCCCCATAGGCATTCAGGGACAAATATATTCTTTTTCTTTTGGGAAATATCTCCATCTCCCCTGAAAATCCTCCCTTTCAAAATTTACTACTTGCAACATTTTACAGATAACTCATGTAACAACTGTCAAGATTATATAGTAAGTGAAAGCAAAGCCGTAAAGGTCCATGGGAGGCTGAGATGTGGGCCAGCAAGCCCAGTACCATGGGCTTCACTGCAGACTTTATTCTGTCTATCCTGACTTCTCAAAAGCTCTTTCCAGGTTGCTGCTTCTCTTCTGTGTTCTGGATTCAGTGCTGCATGTGAAGGGGAGTAAACTCTTGAGCCAGCACTGTCCCACCAGTCAGTAACCAGGCAGGTGGAAGTGGGGAAATGACAACTTCTCTGATTTCCGTGTGCCTGTCTGGTAATTCAAGGTCCTTTCATGTTCTCAAGTACCAAAACCAGTGGTTCAGGACAAAAATGTTTAAATGCTGTGAGACATAAGTGTCTGGAGGAGGAGGGACCACTTTGGATGGAGACTGCTGTGGGCATCTTCCCAAAGTGGGAAGAGCAGTGTCAGAGGGGGGACAAGGAGGCAAGGAGACTAGTGGGGTATGTGTGTCTCTGAGAAAGTGCCAGGCCTTTCCACAGGAGGGCAGTTACGACGGAGGGAGGAAAATGTGCCTTTCATAAAATTAACCATTGACCATTTTTAAGTGTCCAGTTTGGTAATGTTTGGGAGCTCCACAGTGTTGTGCTACCACCACCCTCTCCATCTCTAGAACATTTTCGTCTCCCCACATAAAACCTCCACGCTCATTAAACACTAGCTTCCCATGCCCTGCTCCCCACAGCCCCTGCCTTAATTAATCCCCTAGCTTATTTCACTTAGCACAATGTCTTCAAGGACATGAATTCTTGTAGAAGTTAGAAGAATTTCATTTCTTTGATCGAATCGTATTCCATTGTATGCATATGCTGCATTTTGTCTGTCTATTCATCTGTTGCTGGAGGTTTGTGTTGCTTCTGTCTTTTAGCTTTTGTGAATAATGTGGCTTTGAACGTGGGTTTAACTTTTTGAGGAGCTAACTGCCAGGCTGTATCTACAGTAGCTCAGCCACTTTACATTCCCACCAGCATTGCACAGGGCTCCAGTTTCTCCAAAGGTGGCCACACAGGCTCACTGCATCTATGGAGGGAGGGAAAGGAAAAGAGGTGCCAGCTAGGGTGTCTGAAGAAGATCCAAGCTGGCTACAAAGTTCTTATTTTGATCTTTCATTTGTATAGTGCATAAAACAATATTATCCTATAAAATATTACGAAAGTGTTGGCGTGGCTGACCCGCTTTGTGTTTGCCATGAGTGCATGCCAGCTCGCAGACTAGAAGGCCACCCCGACTCGTAATGCATCTGTCTGCTTCCTTTCTGTTCCTTTGAGTTCCCACCACTAAAATAAAGATTCAGGAAGCAAAAGAATTCCTTTAGGTGCTGTCCTTTGTGTTCGTAGCAGACCACCTGGGAGGGCTTTCTCTGTGCAGGTGTCTAAGCGTGTAAGTGTGGGCGTGGTGGTGGGGTGTGGGTGTTGGTGGACTGTTTTAAATAACTTATCTTTAAAAGAGATGCAATTAAGGGAATCTCAAATCAGATTGATAAGACATGATTAAAATAATTAGAGTATGGGGAAACGTACTCAAAAGTTGATGTAACAACTGTTTCAAGGCACAATTTGTGGAAGGTAGTGAGAAAGCAGTTCAGACGGTGCTGTGGTCATCCTAATGGGGGGGCCTCCCTTGCTCAGAGCCACTAGTCACCACAGCTGGGCAGACTGGGATCACTGTCACCCTGGGCTGATGATGTGTGGGGCTGCAAAAGACCACTAGTAGGCCACAGTTACAGGAATTGCTATTCATAACATTTGTTGCATTCTCTGGGTTCTTTATAAATAGGTGTCTATCTCTTGAGACGGATTTGAATACACTGCTGTCTGTGTTTTCGATTCTGTGGATGTAGATTTTTAAAAGCTGATGATTCTTTGCCTGGTGCTGAGTAAAAGAAGAGGGGTCAGTTGGAGAAACAACCCCCCTGGCCCACCTGCATCTTTTGCATTGTTCGTTAGTGAAAGGAGAAGCCGTGCAGCTGACGTGGAGTAGGAGAAGCTTGACAAGGTGCAGACCCGACCGGGCAGGCCGGTTTCAGTTGTGCGGATCTGCCCTCTGTGGCCCGCTGGGACTCTCTCTGACTCAGCCCAGCCTCCCTTGGTTCCTGGGAGTTGGTGGTTTAAGCAGCTGCTCTAGTCATCATTAGAGCTGGGGAAAGAGCCTGTTTCCGCAATGGGAACTAATTGCCTGAAAGAATTAACAGACTTTGAAGGGAACCACTTAATGTTTTCAAAGAAGTCCTGTGAGCTTCCAGAGAAATAAATCTTTTCTCTTCCATCGCCGGAAGACTCTTGAATTCCTTTCCAACATCAGCCAAGTAGAACCCTGTCCGCCTCCGTGACTTTGAAGGCAGTTGAGCAGTGTGCCCTGTTGCCCGAGGATCCAGCTAAGGCTTCCAAAGAGGACTGAGTCTGTGTCCTTCTGCACCAGGGTCCTTCCGTCACCATGCTGACAGCCAGTGCACTGTGCCTCTGTGCCTTCGGGTGGGCCCATGGGACAGCTGTGGGGTAGGAAGCCGCCTTGAGCAGACACCTGGCTCTTCTCTCCCAACCTCACGAAGATCAAAGAGCGGAAAGACCAGGGCTGGAGGATGAGAAGCTCCTATGAGCCAAAGAACAGAGACGAGAACTTGGTGACGTTTGGGAAGAGGTATAGTTCCCACCGAAGAAGGGAAGAGGGGGAATGAGGAAGGAAAGAGAAGGGGTTGATGAGCCACGGGACAACCTGTGACTCACCAGAGGCAGACATTTCTCCCTGCAGATTTATTTTTGTAGCTACTCAGAGACTCGAAGGTGCATTCTCAGCCAATGAGGTTAAGAGGAAGAAGGCGACAGGGAACAGAAGATGTCAAGGATAAAAGCTCTCTGGTGTTTTTTAATGTGACTGGTTTCCCTTTTTTTTTTTTTCTGACTTTAAGAAAACTCCCATAACTGATGATCTTAGGAAGAAACTGGAAGCTAGACATTAAGGTCTTTAGGCAGGGAAGTTGTATCATGTGGGCTGCGGAGAGGCTCCTCCTGAGACTGGAGCAGAGAAGCTGAGGTGACGTCTTCAACCTGACAAGCCACACTTGGTGGAGTTTCAGTCACGGTGGCCTTCTGTGTCTTCTGATTGTGTATCTTCTGCTTCTGTATCTTCTGACTGTGCTCTGTCACAACAGAGCTGCAGAAGAAGGGACAGAAAAGATGGTAGCCAACATTTATTGAGGACCTACTTTGTGCCATGCACCATTGTTGACACGTATTAAAGCACGCACCCTGCGCAGCAAACTGTGGGGAAAATGAGGCACAGAAAGGTTAGATAATTTTCCGCAGGGAAATTGTTTTTTAAAAGGGCTAGGATTTGAACCCAGATCTTCTGGCTTGAGCGTATGTGCTGTGAAGCCTTGAGGCACGCTGCTTAGGGGCAAGAAGGAAGATGTGAAGCTAAACAGGATGTGTCTGCTCGCCTTATTGAGTACTTCATATGTTATCTGCTTTGATGCTTCCAGAAGCTTCCCAAGGGCCACATAGCCCACAGGTCCAGCCCTGAGCTCCTCCGCGATGCCCTGAATAGATCACTGTGGTCAATGTATTTGAAATGGCCATAATTCATCAGAGATAATTATAACACATACATTTTAAATTAAATAAACATAATCATTTTAATCTTCTTCTAATCATATTGCAGAAAATGTGAATAACAGCAGAAAAGAAAAAAACACATCCCACTCTACATCACCATCAGTCTTATTCTGGCATATTTCCTAGCAGCCCTTTTATGAATGCCTCTGAATAATATAAATATAGTTTTGTACAGAGCATGATACGCTTTTCCCCATGTTTTTCCTGAAGTCTTTGCAACTGGGTTTTCTGAATGGATGGTATTTGGGTTTCTCTTGGTATTTTTAATTTGGAGCATTTTGAAATTTTCTAATACTCGTAGAGATTTAATATCAGTTTTTAAAGGCATTTTGTGCGAGGTCTCCGTTATGGAAAAAAAAAAAAAAGAACTCAGCAGTAAGAATAATTCTTGAAACGTTCTTTCCTTGTCTTTGTGTTAACAGGGATCTACAGGACAGAAAGGGACAAAGGCACTCTGTATGAGCTCACCTTCAGAGGGGACAGCAAGCACGAGTTCAGGCGACTGGTCTTGTTTCGGCCCTTTGGCCCCATCATCAAAGTGAAGAAAGAGAAACTCAACATGGCCAACACGCTCATCAACGTCATCGTGCCACTCGCCAAAAGGGTGGACAAGTTCCGGCAGTTCATGCAGAACTTCAGGTTGGTTTGTTTGCACACGTTTATCTCCCGTGGAACAGTGCGTCAGAACGCTGAGCTCACGTCCTGTCACCCCCTCCGTTTCCCCTGCCAGGTACAGAGCGCCCTTTCTCTGGCTGTTCAACTCTGTCTTCTTGGTATGGAGTTTATCACTGGTATCTGTGTTTCCCCAAAGCACAATGAGAAAAATCCCCTGAGAAGCACATTTACCTTCGGAAGTGAAAATTAGGAAGGACGGGTTTTCACCACCGCCTCCCAAAATGACCCCCTGCCCTTTGTGTTCAGTTGTGACAGGAGTGTGTGCTCTTGCTTGGGAACAGCAGGAAATAAGACTCTCAAAGGCAAGATGGTGACATTCTACATCCTAAGGAGCAGGAGGAGCTGGCTGGTGACAGAGCCTTTGTCAACACTGAACCCTTGCTGGCTTACGCCCTTGCGCAGTGGAGGGCTGACTTCAGTACTGTCCTACTGTCCGGCTCTAGCCACCCCTGAGAGGGGATGAATCAGAAACTGCTTTTTATTCTAAGCTTCATCCTCTAAGGGATTAAGCTTAGAACCAAGCCAGGAAAGCTTCAAGCATTCGTTCTTAGAGCTACTCAATAAGACTAAGTGAGGTTTTGTTCTCAGACGCACTGAGATACTTTTCAGTCTGACTTAAAGCCCTTCACTCTGGGTCTAATAAGCTTTTATGGCCCAAATTCATAGACTGACTGAGGTAAACCAGCTAACCTATTTAGTCTGCTGATTTTAAAGGTAGAATATCATTTTATCTATCATATTGTCTAATCACGGAAGATCAAGCTGATTTTTAATCTTTTATCATTATAGTCACATTGTTAAATGCAGTCATGTTCCCTATGAGAATGTGGTTGGTATCTCTCAAAATTTGGTTCATAAATATGCTGGGTTTTTAAAATTTAAATGGTAATTCATTTATATTTAACTCATTTATTTAAAATCAGGATAAAATACTCTTAAAAGAGACCTTTGAGGTCATTTAGTCCAATTCTCCTTAATTCAGAATCCTTCGACAGCACCCACAACCTGTGGTTTGGAGGGTGAGTTCCAAATGACCACCTCACAAGCTGACTCTGTCCAGCCAGCTCTGGACAGCAAGCACTTGATTGTTTGGACCTAAAGTCTGCTGCCTTGTAATTTCCCCGCAATGAGTCTAGTTCTAGATCTGGGGAAATGACTGAACAAATCCATTGCCTCTTCAACATCATAACTTTTCAGGCATTTAAAAAAAGCCGCCACACCTCTTGTCTTCTCCAGGTGTAGCAGTTCTCCTTGTCCCTGGTTCTGACTGAGGGGTTTATGTGTTTGAGCTTCTTTCCACCTTCCTGTGGTGTTTCTGTGTTGGAATAGCAGGTGCCACTGGCTGATTAAACATGATGTCCTAGGAACCAGTAGCCCTGTGGTCAGCCCTGGGCATCAAGTAGTAGTATTACTCAAAGCAGCTGGTGTGCCCATACCTAGGACCGGTTTCAACACAAAACTGCTCCTCAGTGGAGCCCTCAGGGGACCTGAAATGGCAGGATTCTCTAGGTAACATCTGCCTAGCTACTTCCTTCATGTCACAAGGATTGCAAATCATTAAACACAGGAAGAAAAGTAGAAGGGAAGTATTATTGAGAAAAGTGAAAGTAATCACTTATGGGTCTCCAGAACAGAGGTGGCAAAGTGAACTGTAATGTTAGTGAATGTTTATGAAACACACAAAAACCCGGAGCCTCATTTCCTGACTTTCACTGACCATGTATCTTCGGCTGCACAAAGGGGTGGGAGGAAAAGACTGTTTCTCAGATAGGATGTTTTGAGAACCTGTCACATGTCCCAGATACTCTATCCAGATGTGAGAGGTGAGAAGAGGAATTCCAGATATGGAAACTGCCTTCACAGAAAGCAGAACCCGCTGAGCAGAACATGCTGCTGGGGATTCAGGCTAGAGAGGCTCCCTGAGCAGATGGCACTGGGCAGGAGGCCAAGCTGGAGTCTGCTCTGCAGTCCAGGGCTTCTGAGTCCACTGGGATATGGCAGGTGAATACCTGACGCTGTTTAACTCCCGTTAATAACTTAGCAAAGGCGGCATCTCAAATCACGAAGAAGGGATTGTTCATGATGTGGCGTTACGACAACTAATTAAACAGCAGGAAAAAAAATTAATTCTTATTTCATACCAAAAAACAAAGCAAATTCTGATCGATTAAATATTTAGATGCAGATATCATGATCATGGATTACTGGGAGAAAATGACAATGGGCTATTTGTCAAATGTTTGACCCTGTCTTTATGATGTCCTTTCCTACCCAAGATTGGAAACTATTAACTGGCTGATGCTGAGAAGGACACTGTGAATGATCTGCATTTCTTTCTTTTTTATCTGTTCCATAACTTTTATGTAGTTTCCCTAGGTTTTACATTTTGATGAAAATTGGTTTTGCTTTTTTAATTTAAACATGAATTTCTAGTTCATAGAGGTGATCCTTGGCTAGTATAAGATGTTTAAGCAATAGAGAATAAATTGTTTACAAAGTGACTCCAGGTCTAGAACTATTATTAACATTAGTTGAATACCATTCCAAGCACCTTTCTTTCTCTATAGACAGACCAATAGCTTGCTAGCTAGGAATCCTCTAATGTGACATGAGATATACTCTACATTCTATCTGTAATTAAATAATCAAATTTTACCTTTCTTAAATTTATAGAAGAGAATCTGAAGTATAACAGAAGAAATTTCTGAACATTAAGAAAACATCTCTTCACTGTAAGAGATCCTTCTAAAGTTTAAAAATAAAGTGATTTTGCAAATCAAAAACAAAACCAAAGTTTGGAATGACTGTGTATTTTTTATGACATTTTAATTTTAGACTGGATTGTCTAAAAAATTGCAGTAAGAAAAAGAAATCAGCACCATCTATGCTTTCTCTGTGTTCCATCATCCAATATCTGTTAGTCATCCATTGTTTGGATCTTGTCTGAGTTTGCAACCTTCACATCCTGTTTTGTAAAGCAGGGTTCTGTATTTAAGTAGCTTTAGTGTATTCATCCAGTCTTCTCACAATAGCATCTCCATTCCTGCTCCCTGTTCAGCTCTGTTGCATGGACAAGGAGTTTTTTGGAGAAGGGTCACACCTGTGCCTGAGCCAGGATCTCTGCCTGGGATCTTGGTAGGAGAAAGATAGCTTGGCTGACTGGAAGTTCCCAGGGCACACTTTCCTGGGACTTGTAGCTTGCTTTTGTCTCTCTTGCAAATGCCTGACTTTTGCCTAGTGGCCTGAAGATCCCTCTGTAGTCTGGAATCATAATAAATTAATTAGGATCTATCTTGTCTCAGTTCCAGTTATTCCAGCCATTTGCCTGGAATGGAGTGGGCTTGGTTGTTTTGTGGGTTCCTTCATTTCTGGGAGACTTTTCCGGTGTTCTGTTTTCAAGTACTTCTTCATTTATTGGGTTCTGTGCTGGGCACAATTGCCTACTTCAAGATCTTCCTTTATTAGCGTCTCCCTGATTTTCAATGTCTCAGGCTTTTATCTGCATTCACTTAAGCCCTCCCTTTATGTCAGTAATTTGATTTTCTGATGTATTCATTCTGTACCTTGCTGTTTCCAACTTAATACTTCTGTTTATTTTGGCTATTGATTTATTTCCTGAGTACATAATGTGCCTTTTAGTTTTTATCATTTCCTCTTTGAACTTTTTTTTTTTTTAAATCAAATTCACATTTTTGTAAAAAGGGTAAAACACTTGTAAGGAATTTTCTTTTGAGTTATGTTTTCTTGCAAGGCAACACTTTCATTTGCTTTGAGTTCTATTTCTTTCTTAAATCTCAGGTTTTTCCTTTAATTGTGTTCGGACCCCTGGGGTTCGGTTGCCATGGTGTTTCTTTCCATCTTTCCTCTGAGTCATGTGCAGGGCTACCGGGCTTCCTGTTTGCTCTGACATGGTTTGAGCGGATTCTCCTGGGCTCCCTCCTCATCTTGACCGGAGCCCTTTGCATCCACTCCCTGTTGCCTTCTGAGGACAGAATATTGTTCTGTTCGCTGTGGGAATGAGTGGGTGATGGCGAGGAGTCCCTGTGCTAGGCTTACTGGTCTGGTTGGGGATGCATCCTATTTCCTGGGGTGCGACGTGTTTGGCTGGCACAGCAGGCTTTCAGGTGAGGGCTGGAACTTCCGGAAAAAGTCAGCCCTGTTTGTTTCCCTCTCTTCTCTCACTCTGTCTTCAATAGTGCTCTCCACTTCTACAAGTCAAAAAGAGAGGAAGAAAAGAAAAAAGTTTGGGCTCTTTCCTGAATAATTCTGTGGGGCATGGCGAAGAGACATAGCAAATAGATAGTTGGCTCTCAGTGTGTCCCAGCCCTTCTTTTCCAGCTCTGACAAAGGATTCTAATTACATGCAGTTCTCTTTTTTTCCTTTGCTTCTCTCAAATCCACTTATTTTTGCAGGGGTTGGTTCACAGCACACGACTAAGGTAGAGCCCCCTTACTTTCCTTGCAATGTTAAAAAAAAAAAGAAAAAGAAAAAACAGTCCATCGCGCAACCAGCCTGCTGGCTTCATACAAGAGGTTCGAAGCATAGAAGTTAACTAGTGAGATCAAAATAAACACACAAACTCAATTTACCTTTTTCTTTGACCAGGTCTGAGACGGCCCTCCCTCTGGCTCCTGCCTCGAGCCACCCGGTGGGGCAGCGAGGCTTACTCAGACTAGCAGGAGAGAGAGAGAGAGAGAGAAAGAGAGAGAGAGAGCATGCCAGAGGATGGCCTTTTATTGGGGAACAAGAAATTCAGGGGAAAATTCCATCCAATGAAGGTCGAGGGGCACAGCATTCCAAGGTCAGGGTCAGTGATTGGTCTCAGGGTCAATGGTCAGTCACACCCCCACATGGACAGGCTCTCGCACCTGGAGATGGTGGGGATTAGTTCCCACACAGTTGAGCCAGAACGCCTCACACCCAATCAGGGAGGTGCCAATCACATGGAGAACAGCTTCCCACA